AAAAAAAAAAATCTCAATAACGTAGCTATCAGTAGAGTCAGAGCTAGAAGAGGGGGTGGGGTGGGGGAGGATGATTATTTAAGATACTGTTTGAAGAGGTAGGGTTTCAGATGTATTTGGAAAATGGGCAGGGACTCTGCAGTCCTTCAGGGGGAAGCTGGTTCCACCATTGGGGTGCCAGGACAGAGAAGAGCTTGGACTGGGCTGAGCGGGAGCTTCCCTCCCGTAGGGGCGGAAGGGCTAAGAGACCTGAGGTGGCAGAACGGAGTGCCCGGGTTGGGTTGTAGGGTTTGAGAATAGCCTGAAGGTAGGGAGGGGCAGTTCCTTTTGCTGTTCCGTAGGTAAGCACCATGGTCTTGTAGTAGATGCGAGCTTCGACTGGAAGCCAGTGGAGTGTGCGGAGGAGCAGGGTGACATGAGAGAACTTGGGAAGGTTGAAAACCAGGCGGGCTGATGCGTTCTGAATAAGTTGCAGGGGTTTGATGGCACAAGCAGGGAGCCCAGCCAACAGCGAGTTGCAGTAGTCCAGACGGGAGTGGACAAGTGCCTGGTTTAGGCCGCATCCTGTGTGAGGTAGGATTGTACTCTATGAATGTTGTAGAGCATGAACCTGCAGGAGCGGGTCACTGCTTTGATGTTTGCAGAGACCGACAAGGTGTTGTCCAAGGCCACGCCAAGGTTCTTTGCACTCTGGGAGGGCGACACTGGAGTTGTCAACCGTGATGGAGAGGTCTTTGAGTGGGCAGGCCTTCCCCGAGAGGAAGAGCAGTTCCATCTTGTCGAGGTTGAGCTTGAGGTGGTGGGCCGACATCCAAGTTGAGATATCTGCTAGGCATGCAGAGATGCGTGTCGCCACCTGGGTGTCAGAAGGGGGGGAAGGAGAAAAGTAGTTGAGTGTCATCTGCATAGCAATGATAGGAGAGACCATGTGAGGATATGACGGAGCCGAGTGACTTTTTGTATAGAGAGAAGAGGAGAGGGCCTAGAACCGAGGGTTAAGGAGGGAGGAGAAGGTGGAAAATAGTTTCCTAGGGTTAGAGGCAGAAGCTTGAAATTTAGAGTGGTAGAAAGTGGCTTTAGCAGCGGATACAGAGGAAGAGAAGGTAGATCGGAGGGAGTGAAAGGATGATTAGACTTCTGGAGGACCTGTTTTCCTCCATTTTTGCTCAGCTGCCCGCAGCCCTGTTCTGTAAGCTCGCAATGAGTCACTCAGCCACAGAGCAGGAGGGAGGTCCGAGCCGGCTTGGGAGGAAAGGGGACAGTGCGATTCATAGGATGTAGAAAGGAAGGAGAGTAGGGTCGACGAAGCAGAATCAGGAGGGAGAAAGATTTAGCAGAAGGGAGAAATTATAGGATAGAAGAGGAGAGTAGTGGAAGAGAGAGAGCAAAGATGGCGCATGACCATCTGGGTAGGGGCTGAATGGTTAGGGTTGGAGGAAAGGGAGACAGAAAAGGAAACAATGTAGTGATCAGAGACCTGGAGGGGGGTTACAGTGAGATTAGTAGGCGAGCGGCCTCTAGTAAAGATGAGGTCAAGCGTATTGCTTACCTTGTGAGTTGGAGGGGATTGGGAAAAGGTGAAGTCAAGAGGCAAGGAGGGGAAAGAGAGTTGTAAAGAAATTAATCGAAGGCAGACGTCGGGAGGTTGAAGTCGCCAAGTACGAAGAACGGTGAGCCATCATCAGGAAATGAGCTTATCAATGTATGCACGCATGACTGTAAGTCGCTTTGGATAAAAGCGTCTGCTAAATGGCATATTATTATTATCATCAAGGTGTCAAGCTCATTGAGGAACTCTCCAAGGGCACCTTGTGGGCGATAGATGACAATTATGTTAAGCTTGAGTGGACAAGTGACAGTATGGAATTCAAATGAGGTGATGGACAAGTGAGAGAGGGAGAAAATAGAAAATCTCCACTTAGGAGAAATGAGTAGACCTGTGCCACCACCGCGACGACTAGATGCTCTCGGACTATGAGAGAAAACATAGTCAAATTAAGAAAGAGCAGCTGGAGTAGCAATGTTCTCTGGGGTGATCCATGTCTCCATCAGGGTCAAAAAGTCAAGGGACTGAAGGGCAGCATAGGCCTCCCTGTACTAATTGGAAAGCACACCTCCCTGTACTAATTGCTAATTTCCTAGGAGAGGTGAAACCACTCCCCCTCCAATACAGCCACTGATTACCAAAACAAGTCACAAATTGCCCTGCCCCTTGATCCTGGTTGATGTGTCAACAACTATCTGCAAATGATGAGCAGTCAGCAGATCACACGCCAAGTAGGCCAATGGGAAGACAGGCATCACTTAAAGTAGATGGCCCTAGCTAGCAAATAGACAGTACTAGACCCCAACAGCACTAGAACTCAACAGATAAAGACAAAAAAATGTATACTTATCACTCCTGGATACATCAAGAGTGTTTTATGTCACACAATTTTGGACAAATCCATCAAGATACCAACCATGATAAAGGGTTAAACATAGATTTGAAATCAACTCGTGAATTTTATTGAATATAGCTATGATCCCCCTTTATCTTAATGTAATGACATGAAAAACATTTGCCGATTATTTTCAATTACTTATCAACAGCTGTAACAAGTTGTCCAGTGTAGAAAATCCTCACTGGTACCCTAGTTTATAGAAAGACCCAATTGCATTACCGCGCTAACCAGCTTCAGCAAGCCTTAGGAGGACACCAGATTTGATTATGTGTCTAAAAGTGCTCTACGTATTAATTCGGAGGGCCGTCCTAACCGGCGCACCATTGTTTGGTTCAGACAGCAGATCTCAGTTTGCAGCTGGAGAATTCAAAGGGTTCATTCTTGTAGAAGCGTGGATAAATACACATTTCTGGCCACTCCTGCCCAGTAATTTCTTCTTCTCCTTCAGACTTCCCTGAATAAACACGTTGTAATTAGAAATGGTATTTGCCGTCTGTCAGTGCAGTGGCCTAGCTACAAGGCATCAGAGAACATGTCTATATTTGAACCCCCAGCCGCTCTCTGCAGATCGTTCAATCCAATGGACATGGTGGACCATAATTACATCTTAGAGCCTCTTGGCAGAGATTTCTTTGATTCAGTCTGATTCAGGTCTCTGCCTAGAACAGGTTCACACTAAAACACATTTGGCAACAGGCTCAAGTTCGCGCCACTTTGTCGGGAGCTACAGTGAGGGAAAAAAGTATTTGATCCCCTGCTGATTTTGTACGTTTGCCCACTGACAAAGACATTATCAGTCTATCATTTTAATGGTAGGTTTATTTGAACAGTGAGAGACAGAATAACAACAAAAAAATCCAGAAAAACGCATGTCAAAAATGATATAAATTGATTAACATTTTAATGAGGGAAATAAGTATTTGACCCCCTCTCAATCAGAAAGATTTCTGGCTCCCAGGTGTCTTTTATACAGGTAACGATCTGAGATTAGGAGCACACTCTTAAAGGGAGTGCTCCTAATCTCAGCGTGTTACCTGTATAAAAGACACCTGTCCACAGAAGCAATCAATCAATCAGATTCCAAACTCTCCACCATGGCCAAGACCAAAGAGCTCTCCAAGGATGTCAGGGACAAGATTGTAGACCTACACAAGGCTGGAATGGGCTACAAGACCATCGCCAAGCAACTTGGTGAGAAGGTGACAACAGTTGGTGCGATTATTCGCAAATGGAAGAAACACAAAAGAACTGTCAATCTCCCTCAGCCTGGGGCTCCATGCAAGATCTCACCTCATGGAGTTGCAATGGTCATGAGAACGGTGAGGAATCAGCCCAGAACTACACGGGAGGATCTTGTCAATGAAGCTGGGACCATAGTCACCAAGAAAACAATTGGTAACACACTACGCCGTGAAGGACTGAAATCCTGCAGCGCCCGCAAGGTCCCCCTGCTCAAGAAAGCACATATACAGGCCCGTTTGAAGTTTGCCAATGAACATCTGAATGATTCAGAGGAGAACTGGGTGAAAGTGTTGTGGTCAGATGAGACCAAAATCGAGCTCTTTGGCATCAACTCAACTCGCCGTGTTTGGAGGAGGAATGCTGCCTATGACCCCAAGAACACCATCCCCACCATCAAACATAGAGGTGGAAACATTATGCTTTGGGGGTGTTTTTCTGCTAAGGGGACAGGACAACTTCACCGCATCAAAGGGACGATGGACGGCGCCATGTACCGTCAAATCTTGGGTGAGAACCTCCTTCCCTCAGCCAGGGCATTGAAAATGGGTCGTGGATGGGTATTCCAGCATGACAATGACCCAAAACACACGGCCAAGGCAACAAAGGAGTGGCTCAAGAAGAAGCACATTAAGGTCCTGGAGTGGCCTAGCCAGTCTCCAGACCTTAATCCCATAGAAAATATGTGGAGGGACCTGAAGGTTCGAGTTGCCAAACATCAGCCTCGAAACCTTAATGACTTGGAGAAGATCTGCAAAGAGGAGTGGGACAAAATCCCTCCTGAGATGTGTGCAAACCTGGTGGCCAACTACAAGAAACGTCTGACCTCTGTAATTGCCAACAAGGGTTTTGCCACCAAGTACTAAGTCATGTTTTGCAGAGGGGTCAAATACTTATTTCCCTCATTAAAATGCAAATCAATTTATAACATTTTTGACATGCGTTCTTCTGGATTTTTTTGTTGTTATTCTGTCTCTCACTGTTCAAATAAACCTACCATTAAAATTATAGACTGATCATGTCTTTGTCAGTGGGCAAATGTACAAAATCAGCAGGGGATCAAATACTTTTTCCCCTCACTGTAATAAAAAACATGAAACATAAAGAAAACTGAGAAACATTCATTGCTTTGTTGATCCCCTTCTTTTTTCCTTCCACCTCACTAGATACTAGGTACTATGTATCACTATGTATTTTCTGTTATGTGCTAGATTCAATCAAAATCACATTAAACTTGCCTTAGTAATCCTAAGCAACAATGTACCCCAGTTTTTCAGCCACCAACACAGTCACATAGGTACACAGCTCTATTGTGAGTCACTCCAGACAAAATGACAAAAACATAAAAATAATCATATAAACGGGACCCAGCTGACTAACCCGTCGTCTCAGGCGGTCGCGTTCCTCCCGGATGGCGTTCATGGTGGCCTTGGTGCGGTTCAGATCCTCCTCCTTGGAGCACAGCATGGCTGTCAAGCTCTCGTTCTCTTCCCTCAGGCCTGCCAGCTCCTTCTCCCAGCGCACCCGCTCCTCCGACAGGCTGGGGTAGAAGTCCCGGCCCAGGGCCCCTTCGATCTCCTCCACCGTCTGGGGGAAATGAGGAAAGGACAGAGGGGGAATGTTATTTTATGGCATGCCTTTTTACAGTGCAGTATGTATAGTGTTGAGATTGCGATTACATGGTCACAATTCTAGTAACCAAATGTGAATGACTCTGGATTCTCAGGGACTCAATGAAAATGGCATTACAAAGAAGAACCATTTGGTACCTTGAAGTAGCCCCAAGAAAGAGACAAGAAAATTATATGAGAAAAATTAAAACAAAGAACAGAGACAAAACAAAAGTGAGACAGACAAAACAAGAATATCAAACATGTCAGGCACATACATTTTCACACAGGATTTTCCCCTGTCGGTTTACCATTATAATGTTCATAATTTGTGGGTAGTGTAGCCCTACACCATGTGTCTCAATTTACATGAGTAGAACAAGCATCCAAGACTATGATGTATGTACATGTGTCCTTTTCCTCTTTTTATCCAGTGGAACAAACCTCTGATCTCCCAAAGTGTGCATGTTTGTGTGTGTGCGTGAGTGTGTGTGCGTGTGAGATATGGCAGAGGGTTGGAGTCTATGACCATGTCTGCCTCTACAGATCCTCATCTCTGGTGAGTGATTCATAGGCGTGTAGTGGGCTTAGAGACTGGGCTTAGAGACAGGCCTGAGTCCTGGCTTTATCTGTCCTCCACCACAGAGAGTGAATCTCTCTTATCCCTCTATCCACCTAGCCCTCTCATCCCTCCATCTCCCTCTCAGCTCCCAGACAGACAGAGACAGAGAGAGAGAGGGAATATGAGGACGAGGAAGGAAAGGGAATGAGCATGAAATCCCAAGTCTCATTGACTGCTGTAGATCCCAGACCAGCCCAGCACCCATTTAACCTTTAAATGAACAGATAAGTCTACCCCAGCATGGCTAGGATAAGCCACAGAGAATCCCAAGACTGTGCAAAGCTGTCATCAAGGCAAAGGGTAGCTACTTTGAAGAATCTCAAACATAAAATATATTTTGATTTGTTTAACACTTTTTTGGTTACTACATGATTCCATATGTGTTATTTCATAGTTTTGATGTCTTCACTATTATTCTAAAATGTAGAAAATAGTAAAAATAAAGAAAAACCCTTGAATGAGTAGGTGTTCTAAAACTTTTGACCGGTAGTGTATGTATTTTACACTCTCTTATTAAACTTGAGACTTCATGGTAGCTGATTCTGGTGGGTTTAAGGCGGCATGGTGTCTATGGGCTCTATATCATATAAAGTACAGCACCTCTCCCTCTGTATGAGGTCTGGATCGGCTTTATCAACTGAATCGAAAACTGTTTTATAAACCCAACTACCGCTATGGAACATGTGGAGTAACTTAACCTTGTCAGTGTCGCATGAATACCCAATATCTATTCATAGGCTTAGTACATGGTAATGGGTTGGGCCCACATTCACAACGGGATACCATGGCCCAATCACAAATCCATCCCTAGACACTTGGCTGAGTCTCCTCGCAAATCTTAAAGGCCTGGCTATTTCGGTGTAGGAAAAATGGTATCCAATCCACATCTCATACTCATTGGACAAGTATTGTTTCTATCAAATGACATACATTCCGTTATTTTAGATACATTTTTGCGAGGGAGACAACATTAGGACACTCAGTCTAGACACGACTCCAGGGATCGGTTTGGGATTAAGCCTCAGCTGGAAATGTGAAGGCGTTCATTTTTCTTCCAACAAAATGTAATTTTTACATTTTAGTCATTTAGCAGATGCTCTTATCCAGAGCGACTTACAGTTAGTGAGTGCATAATTAGAATTTTTTTCATATTGGTCCCCCGTGGGAATCGAACTCACAACCCTGGCGTTGCAAGCGCCATGCTCTACCAACTGAGCTACACGGGACTATGTAATTGGATTAGGATTAAGTAAAGTCAGATTCATAATGGAATAAACCAGCTCGATTTCCTCTCTTTCAAACCCAAGGAGAAAGCTCTTGTCCTCATCCTAATCGATTAGCACTGGTTGTGTCCAGCCAACAAAAGGTAGAGAAATTAAATACAAGAACAGTGTTCAAATACTCTTTGACATTAAGTTTTAGGACCGAGGATTTAGGATTCCGTTTTGGAATCACAAACTGAATTTGCTAGCCAAGTTCAATTTGTTTGTTAGAAAATGTAGATACACTACATGGCCAAAAGTATGTGGACACCTGCTTGTCGAACATCTAATTCGAAAATCATGGGCATTAATATGGAGTTGGTCCCCCCTTTGCTGCTATAACAGCCTCCACTCTTCTGGGAAGGCTTTCCACTAGATGTTGGAACATTACTGAGTGGACTTGCTTCCATTCAGCCACAAGAGCATTAATGAGGTCGAGGACTGATATTGGGCTGTTAGGCCTGGCTCGCATTCGTCGTCCCAATTCATCTCAAAGGTGTTCGATGGGGTTGAGGTCAGGGCTTTGGGCAGGCCTGTCAAGTTCTTCCACACCGATCTCGCAAACCATTTCTGTATGGACTTCGCTTTATGCACGGAGCATTGTCATCGTCTAGAATGTCATTGTATGCTGTAGCGAACAGATCTTGTGCTGACGTTGCTTCCAGAGGCAGTTTGGAACTCGGTAGTGAGTGTTGCAACCAAGGACAGATTATTTTTATGTGCTACGCACTTCAGCACTCGGCAGTCCCATTCTGTGAGCTTGTGTGGCCTCCCACTTCGCAGCTGAGCCATTGTTGCTCCTAGACGTTTCCACTTCCAATAACAGCACTTACAGTTGACCGGGGCAGCTCTAGCAGGGCATAAATTTGACGAACTGAATTGTTGGAAAGGTGGCATCCTATGACGGTGCCACGTTGAAAGTCACGGAGCTCTTCAGTACGGGCCATTCTACTGCCGATGTTTGTCTAAGGAGATTGCATGGCTGTGCATTCGATTTTATACAACTGTCAGCAACAGGTGTGGCTGAAATAGCCAAATCCACTAATTTGAAGGGGTGTCCACATACTTTGGGCCATATAGTGTAGAGGAATATTAAGTATCATTTGTTTAGCTATCTGTCCTCTATTGCTGCTCTGACACAATGGTTTGTGACGGAGGTCCATTCAGGCTGATAAAATAAAGCCAAGTAAATCCATTCTCCCACATTACAGTGACTGTCACTAAAGGAATGCCAGTGATGGTGATTGTCTGTTAAGCCTTTAGTAGTCTTAACACGAAGGACATATTTCCATTGAGCCGTCAGCTCATATTCAGTGAAATTACTAGGTGTATGAGGCAAGGAGCTCCCTTCAGTCTATCGCTTTCTCGCTCTCCGGCCTTCACTCTGCCTCTCTCATTCTCCCTCTACTTCTTCCTTCATCTTCCTTTCCAACTCTCTCTCGGTTCCTTTCTCTATTTCTATCCATCTCCACATTTTTCTGTGTCTATAGGTCTCTTTCCTTTCCCCCCCCCCCATCTCTCCCCCTCATTCTCCCATCTTTCAATGTGTATGCGAGTTTGTGTGTTGTATAATCATTTTGCGAGGAAACCAATAGCTAGCAGACTGAATTCCTCTCAGGACTGCTGGCCCACCCAACGCTGCGAAGAAGACAACCAGGCAGACAGGGTCCCATTACCAGAGCTGAGTCATCACCGTGGGGACCACCATCATGCCCCCATCAGTCTGAGACATTAGGCTGACATCAGTCTGACTTACACAGGCCCCGGCGCCCAGGCCGAGACAGGCGGTTGGTTACTGCTGGGTCCAACCCAGGGTCACCCCAGGACCCCTACTGACTGATTACTGGAAGTGGCTCAATTCTTCCAGCAGGACAGTTCAACATCATAAGACAGTTTGTGTTATTATAACTCATCTCACTCTCTTTTATTTACAGTGTCTGTAAACCAGTATTGGGTTCACCTATATTCATCTATCCTGCATGTTGTATTTTCTCACTCTGTCCACTCTTAATCATCCTTCACTCTTTATTCCCAATTAATTGTGTTTATAATGAGGAAGGAATATGACTTTCTAAAATGGGTCTCAGTCTTTTCCTGGTGTCTTACCTTGATGGCGAGGTCACAGTGTTCGCTGGCGGTGGTCAGCTGCTCTATCTGGCGGTCCACCTCGGCCACAGACAGGCTGCATGTGCTCTTCTTCCTCCCACACAGCACGCTCTCCAGCCCCGTCAGAACCCGCTGCAGCTCCGAGTTTAGGTCACTGCAGTTGTCTACACGGCGAAAATACAGGGCCGGGGTCAGACTTAACTGGTCTAAGAACAGATCAATGTTTAAAAACCTAATGTAATGTCAGGAAAACAGAGTTCAGGTCACTGCAGTAGTCTACAGGGAGGAAGCCCAGGGCCAGGGTCAAATAAACTGATCTGGTATCAGATGAATGAATGCCAGTGTGACTGATACAGGGAGAAATAATAGGGTACACAGATCTAGGAGAAAATAGTCAAACCTCAATGTGCCAAGAACAACACAACCACTGTAGTCTGCATGAGCAAAGTGACCTTGTTAGCATGGCAGCATAGTGATGATGTATTGTGTGCTAGTGCCATACTAATAACCAGCCATGTGCTAAATGCTAATGGTTTAACTGAATGCCCGAGGCTGACTGGAGGAATGCTGCAGGCTAGTAAAACACTCATTAAACCACATCACAGACGTCTACTGTTTAGAGAGCACAATACAAAACACACCACATAACTATCTGAGAGAAAGACAACAGTGATGAAGATACAAGCAGGATCATTATTTTTTATGAAAACATTGTCATTCTGTACATATATCCACAGTGACCTACAGTTAACACCTGCGGGAATCAAACCCACAACCCTGGGGTTGCAAGGCAAGCAACTAGCTCCAACCAAAGCTTCATCATCACATTCAAAGCTTTAGTTCCCTATATGACTGAGTCTGTAATACCAACATGTTTCAAGCAGACCACCATAGTCCCCGTGCCCAAGGACTCTAAGATAACCTGCCTAAATGACTACCGAACGGTAGCACTGACGTCTGTAGCCATGAAGTGCTTTGAAAGGCTGGTCATGGCTCACATCAACACCATTATCCCAGAAACCCTAGACCCACTCCAATTTGCATACCGCCACAACAAATCCACAGATGATGCAATCTCTATTGCACTCCACACTCCCCTTTCCCACCTGGACAAGAGGAACACCTACGTGAGAATGCTATTCATTGACTACAGCTCAGCATTCAACACCATAGTGCCCTCAAAGCTCATCACTAAGCTAAGGATCCTGGGACTAAACACCTCCCTCTGCAACTGGATCCTGGACTTCCTGACGGGCCGCCCCCAGGTGGTAAGGGTAGGTAACAACACATCTGCCACACTGATCCTCAACACGGGGGCCCCTCAGGGGTGCGTGCTCAGTCCCCTCCTGTACTCCATGTTCACCCATGACTGCATGGCCAGGCACGACTCCAACACCATCATTAAGTTTGCCGACGACACAACAGTGGTAGGCCATGAACACCGACAACAATGAGACAGCCTATAGGGAGGAGGTCAGAGACCTGGCCGTGTGGTGCCAGGATAACAACCTCTCCCTCAACGTGACCAAGACAAAGGAGATGATTGTGGACTACAGGAAAAAAAAGAGGACTGAGCACGCCCCCATTCTCATCGACGGGGCTGCAGTGGAACAGGTTGAGAGCTTCAAGTTCCTTGGTGTCCACATCACCAACGAACTATCATGGTCCAAACTCACCAAGACAGTCGTGAAGAGGGCACGACAAAGCCTATTCCCCCTCAGGAGACTGAAAAGATTTGGCATGGGTCCTCAGATCCTCAAAAAATTCTACAGCTGCACCATCGAGAGCATCCTGACTGGTTGCATCACCACCTGGTATGGCAACTGCTTGGCCTCCGACCGTAAGGCACTACAGAGGGTAGTGCGTATGGCCCAGTACATCACTGGGGCCAAGCTTCCTGCCATCCAGGACCTCTATACCAGGCGGTGTCAGAGGAAGGCCCTCAAAATTGTCAAAGACTCCAGCCACCCTAGTCATAGACTGTTCTCTCTGCTACCGCACGGCAAGCAGTACCGGAGTGCCAAGTCTAGGTCCAAAAGACTTCTCAACAGCTTCTACCCCCAAGCCATAAGACTCCTGAACAGCTAATCATGGCTACCCGGACTATTTGCATTTGGCGTAAGCAGCATGAGTCCAGGGACCCATCCTGCCTGGTGTCAACGGTACAGGCTGGTGGCGGTGGTATAATTTTACATTTTTACATTTTAGTCTTATCCAGAGCGACTTACAGTTAGTGAATACATACATGTTTTTTAGTGTTTTTTTTTTTTTTTTTATACTGGCCCCCCGTGGGAAACAAACCCACATCCCTGCCGGCCAAACCCTCCCCTACCTTGGACAACGCTGGACCAATTGTGCGCCGCCCATGGGTCTCCCGGTCGCGGCCGGCTGCGACAGAGCCTGGACTCGAACCAGGATCTCTAGTGGCACACTAGCCGGTGCCCCCACACATTGACTCTGCACCGGTACCCCCCTGTATATATAGCCTCCCTACTGTTATTTTATTTTACTTCTGCTCTTTTTTTCTCAACACTTTGTTGTTTAATTCTACTTTTTTATTACAAATAAATGCACTGTTGGTTAAAGGCTGTAAGTAAGCATTTCACTGTAATGCCTGCACCTGTTGTATTCGGCGCATGTGGCCAATAACATTTGATTTGATTTGATTTATTCACTGTGTCAACTTCTTTATCTCAAGCGATACAACTTCATATCTCCAGAGGCAATCAAATTCGCTCATCGGAAACTCATTTAAATTAGCATATTAATACAATCCCTGCAAAGCAGCAAAGACATGCAATGCGATGGTTAGCATCTGCTGCCATATTGCATCCAAAATAAGATCATGATTATTGTCCCAGTCCTAGACAAACATTGCCTGGGTACATTGTGTGGGAAATTAAAATGTGGAGAGTGGCAGATGTATTTCCCCAAGTGTCCCCTTAAGTGCAGGTTTTGCCAACAATGCAAATGCAATTAGTATTGTGCGAAGGAATGTGATGATTAACAAAACTTGAATTTGTTTCCTAAACAATTTCCTGACTGGTGAAATCCTGTTTGTGTGGGGATAAGATTGCCCCGGCTACAGCCAGAGACAGAGGACTGTGAAGATTGAAAAATATATATATTCTCGCTCTCTGCTAAACGTTGAGGATAATGAATAAGAGAAACCGATTAAGCTCTTTACCATTGACAAGTGATTGCTGGGTGCTCTCAGCACCACTGATAGAGGGGAGTATTAATAGCATCTTGAAGGAACTGCCGTGCAGTGTTGTTTGGGCAAAATGATTCTGTTACAGACCCAACAGTGTGTTTGTGCACTCTCCCACAATGGAAAATTGATTCAGCAGAGTGCTGAATCAATTTTCCATTGTGGGAGAGTGCACAAACACACACATGCACACACAGACACACACTCACTCTGTCAGAGACACATACGTACACACACCTACACACGCACATAACTGCTCCTCATTCTATCTCCAGTAGAAGCCTATAATTGTTTATTGGGTGCCATCAACCCTATAGCCATTGGTTTGTAACAGGCCATCCATCAAGGGAGGACATGCACAGATAGGGAACCGAGTCTCTCTATGGGAGAGATGATTAAAATGAACTACTGATCAAAGCAGTTATTAGTGACAAAGATGAGTAGAGTGAGAGCATAAACACTACATGACCAAGAGTATGTGGACACCTACTCGTCGAACATCTCATTCCAAAATTATGGGCATTTGGTATTTGATTAGGATCCCCATTAGCTGTTGCAAAAGCAGCAGCTACTCTTCCTGGGGTACACACAAAACATGAAATAATTCTGAACATTAATAGACAAGAACAGCTCAAGGACAAAACTACATAAAACATTTTTTAAAGGCACACGTAGCCTACATATCAAAATATACACACAAACTATCTAGGTCAAATAGGAGAGAGGCGTTGTGCCGTGAGGTATTGCTCTATTTATTTTTTTGAAATCAGGTTTACTGTTTATTTGAGCAATATGAGATGGAACGGAGTTCCATGCAATTATGGCTCTATATAATACTGTATGCTTTCTTGAATTTGTTCTGGATTTGGGGGCTGTGAAAAGACCCCTGGTGGCATGTCTGGTGGAGTAAGTGTGTGTGTCAGAGCTGTGTGTAAGTTGACTATGCAAACAATTTGGGATTTTCAACACAATGTTTCTTATAAAAAGAAGAAGTGATTCAGTCAGTCTCTCCTCAAAACTTAGCCAAGAGAGACTGGCATGCTTAGTATTTATATCAGCCCTCAGATTACAATGAAGAGCAAGACGTGCCGCTCTGTTTTGGGCCAGCTGCAGCTTAACTAGGTCTTTCCTTGCAGCACTGGACCACACGACTTGACACTAATCAAGATTAGACAAAACTAGAGCCTGCAGAACTTGCTTTTTGGAGTGTGGTGTCAAAAAAGCAGAGCATCTCTTTATGTTTTGACCATGATCATTTACAATCTAAGGTAACGCCAAGTAATTTAGTCTCCTCAACTTGTTCAATAGCCACACCATTCATTACCAGACTGCAACTCTTTGTTAAGGGTTTCAGTGACTTCATTAGCTGTGGTTGCTGATGCGTATAGTGTTGAATCATCAGCATACATGGACACACATGCTTTGGTTAATGCCAGTGGCAGGTCATTGGTAAAAAATAGAAATGAGAAGAGGGCCTAGAGAGCTGCCCTGTGGTATACCACACTTTACATGTTCGACATTAGTGAAGCTTCCATTAAGTATAAATCCTTTGAGTTCTATTAGACAGATAGCTCTGAATCCACGATATGGCAGAGGTTGAAAAGCCATAACATATGTTTTTTCAACAACAGGTTATGGTCAATAATATCAAAGGTTGAACTGAAATCTAACAGTACAGCTCCCACAATCATCTTATTATCAATTTCTTTCAACCAATCATCAGTCATTTGGGTCAGTGCAGTACATGTTGAGAGCCCTTCCCTATAAGCATGCTGAAAGTCTGTTGTTAATTTGTTTACAGAAAAATAGCATTGTATTTGGTCAAACACCATTTTTTCCAACAGTTTGCTAAGAGCTGGGAGCAAGCTTATAGGTCTGCTGTTAGAACCAGTAAAGGCCGCTTTACCATTCTTGGGTAGCGGAATTCCTTTGGCTTCCCTCCAGGCCTGAGGACAAAGACTTTCCTCTAGGCTCAGATTAAAGATATGACAGATTGGAGTGTCTATAGAGTCAGCTACCATTCTCAGTAGCTTTCCATCTAAATTGTCAATGCCAGGAGGTTTGTCATTATTGATCGATAATCAATGAACACTAACTTTACAAAATTCAAACTTGCAATGATTTTCTTTAATTATTTGTTGTTTTATGCAGGCTCACTGTTCATTGTTGGCATTTCTTGCCTAAGTTTGCCCACTTTGCTAATGAAGTAATCATTAAAATAGCCATCTGATTCGATGAAAGATGGATTTGATTTTGTCTTTCTGCCCATAATTTCATTTAAAGTACTCCAAAGTTTTGTTTCCATCATTCTTTATATAATTGATCTTGGCTTCATAATACAGTTTTCTTCTTATTTTTTGTTGAGTTTAGTCACATAATTTCTCAAATTTGCAGTAAGTCAGCCAGTCAGATGTGCAGCCAGACTTATTAGCCACTCCTTTTGCCCCATCTCTTTCAACCATACAGTTTTTCAATTCCTCATCAATCCATGGAGCATTAACAGTTCTAACAGTCAGTTTCCTAACAGGTGCATGTTTATCAATAATTGGAAGAAGCAATTTCATCAATTCGTCTGGATGCTCCTTATTAATCACATCAGACCAACAAATATTATTTACATCATCCACATATGAGTCACAGCAAAATCTTTTGTATGATCTCTTATACACTATTTTAGGCCCAGCTGTTGGAACTTCGGCTTTCCTGGATATAGCCACTATATTGTGATCACTGTATCCAATGGGTACGGATACAGCTTTAGAACAAAGTTCTACAGTATTAGTAAAAATGTGATCAATATAAGTGGATGATCTTGTTCCTGTAGTTTTTGTAAACACCCTGGTAGGTTGATTAATAACCTGAACCAGATTACAGGCACTGGTTAAAGTAAGAAGCTTCCTCTTGAGCGGACAGCTTGATGAAAACCAGTCAATATTCAGGTCCCCAAGAAAGTAGACCTCTCTGTTTACATCACATACACTATCAAGCATTTCATACATATTATTTAGATACTGACTGTTTGCACTTGGTGGCCTATAGTAACACCCCAAAAGAAAATGCTTTAGATGTGGCAAGTGAACCTGCAATCACAACACTTCAATAACACTTGACATAAGATCTTCTCTAAGCATTACAGGGATATGACTCTGAATATATACAGCAACACCTCCCCCATAAGCATTTCTGTCTCTTCTATAGATGTTATTTATTGTATTGCTACTGCTGTATCATCAAATGAATTATCTAAGTGAGTCTCAGAAATGGCTAATATATGAATGTTATCTGACGTTAGCAAGTTATTGTTTTCATGAACCTTATTTCTAAGGCTACATATATTAACATGGGCTATTTTCAGCAATTTCCTGGGTAGCTTATCAGAGATAAACATAATACTGAAAAGAGCAAACAAAGCAAAGAAATATACATTCAGCAGTCCATTAATCAATTGGTGCGTGTGTGTGCTGCGGGGTTGAAGCTACGAACCCATAGGCTTGGCTCTCTCATCCCTTCCAGGCTTCTGGGAGGGAGGGTGGACAATGAGCCTGTCATAGCGGATGTAAGCAATGTCCCCACGAGCTCTGGCAGCTTAATATGGAGTTGGTCACCCATTTGCTGCTATAACAGCCTCCACTCTTCTGGGAAAGCATTCCACTAGATGTTGGAACATTGCTGCAGGGACTTGCTTTCATTCAGCCACAAGCGCATTAGTGAGGTCGGGCACTGATGTTTGGAGATTAGGCCTGGCTCGCAGTCGGCGTTCCAACTCATCCCAAAGGTGTTCGATGGGGTTGAGGTCAGGGCTCTGTGCAGGCCAATCAAGTTCTTCCACACCGATCTCGCAAACCATTTCTGTATGGACTTCGCTTTGTGCACGGAGGCAGTGTCATGCTGAAACAGAGAAGGGCCTTCCCCAAACTGTTGCCACAAAGTTGAAAGCAGAGAATCATCTAGAATGTAATTGTATGCTGTAGCATTAAGATTTCCCTTCACTGGAAAAAAGGAGGCTAGCCCGAACCATGAAAAACAGCCCCAGACCATTATTCCTCCTCTACCAAACTTTACAGTTGGCACTATGCATTCGGACAGGTAGCGTTCTCCTGGCATCTGCCAAACCCAGATTCGTCCGTCGGACTGCCAGATGGTGAAGCGTGATTCATCAATCCAGAGAACACGTTCCCACTGCTCCAGAGTCCAATGGCGGCGAGCTTTATATCATTCCAGCCGACGCTTGGCATTGTGCATGGTGATCTTAGGCTTGTGTGCGGCTGCTCGGCCATGGAAACCCATTTCGTGAAGCTTCCAACGAACAGATCTTGTGCTGACGTTGCTTCCAGAGGCAGTTTGGAACTCGGTAGTGAGTGTTGCAACCGAGGACAGACAATTTTTACGTGCTAGGCGCTTCAGCACTTGGCGGTCCCGTTCTGTGAGCTTGTGTGGCCTACCACTTCGCAGCTGAGCCATTGTTGCTCCTAGATGTTTCCACTTCACAATAACAGCACTTATAGTTGACCGGGGCAGCTCTAGCAGGGCAGAAATTTGACAAACTCACTTGTTGGAAAGGTGGCATCCTATGATGGTGCCACGTTGAAAGTCACTGAGCTCTTCAGTAAGGCCATTCTACTGCCAATGTTTGTCTATGGAGATTGCATTGCATGGCTGTGTGCTCGATTTTATACACCTGTCAGCAACGGGTGTGGCTGAAATAGCAGAATCCACTAATTTGAAGGGGTGTCCACATACTTTTGTATATATAGTGTGCATTCATTCTACTGGTTGTGTAGAACCAACTCCTGATCAATGCAATGGCTTGTGACTGTTGTGAATGTGTCCTCTAAACCGGAGTATGAAGATATTTGGAGCAAGTTAAAAGAATGCAATCGGGTCTGGGTGAACTTCACTGCTCTTAAACAGAGTTTGCACTTAACTAACGTGCTGTTATCAGGAGTCGATTGTACATGGGTTTAGCTTAACTTGATATACAGTCAAGCAGGACAGGCACATTGGGTCCTTCCTTACCCATGTCGGCTGTCACCAGGGTGGAGTGGTTTTCAGGCAGTGAGACGGACGCCCCGTCCTGGTCCAGGCTGTGTCCGTCCTCGTTGACCTCCTGCTGGCTGTGGCTGAGCTCTGAACGCAGCTCTGAAAACTCATCCTCCTCCCTGGGGGGCAGAGGGTCACAAAGTTATGTCTGAGTTCGGTCAAACAGATATGACAGTAGCCTTGTTGCCAGATCTGTTTGTGCTTGGATAACGCTGTCATGGCAAACGACAGATCTGGCAGCAAAGTGGGTATGACTCACACATATTTTCAAAAGAAGGAATTCCTACACGATTCAGTTTTTCACTTCAATGTCATTTTCATGACCACCCCCCATGGCCATAGGACAGATGATGGTGTACAGAATCTAGCAGTGGGAATGACAGATCTGTTTGTTTTGTAGGGTATGAGCTATTAATCAAATAATAGCAGACACAGTAACCATGCATCATGTTAATCCTAAAAGCTTTGAATATAGTTAACATGGTTCATTTCTGGAAGAAATGACCTGAGAGAACCTATAGATGGCCCTTTGATCCGTCTGAGATCTAGCCTATATACTGTAGGCTTAGCATTAGTTAACCTGTAAAACGGCAATATACAGCCATTTCATGTGATTAGCTATGCCTTATAAAACATGGAAATATATACCTTTCATTTATGCCAGTGGTAAGAATTTGTCCTTTTCAAATATGCACACTTTCCACATGAAATGCAAGCTGATTGCCCCTTTACGGCACGTATACAGTGCCGTCAGAAAGTATTCAGACCCCTTGACTTTTTCCACATTTTGTTGTGTTATAGCCTGAATTTAAAATGGATTAAATTGAGATTGTCACTGGCCTACACACAATAACCCAGAAGAATAGTAGAATTATGTTTTTAGAAATATTTACAAATTAACAAAACATTCTGAAAAAGCTGAAATGTCTTGAGTCAATAAGTATTCAACCCCTTTGTTATGGCAAGCCTTAATAAGTTCAGGAGTAAAAATGTAGTTAACAAGTCATAGAATAAGTTGCATGGACTCACTCTGTGTGCAATAATAGTGTTTAAAATTATTTTTGAATGACTACCTCATCTCTATACCCCACACATACAATTATCTGTTAGGTTCCTCAGTTGAGCAGTGAATTTCAAACACAGATTCGACTACAAAGACCAGGGAGCCTTTTCAATACCTCGCTAAGAAGGGCACCTATTGGTAAATTCAAAAGCAGACATTGAATGTCCCTTTGAGCATGTTGAAGTTATTAATTACACTTTGGATGGTGTATCAATACAGCCAGTCACTACAAAGATACAGGCATCCTTCCTAATTCAGTTGCCGGAGAGGAAGGAAACCGCTCAGGCATTTCACCATGAGGCCAATGGTGACTTTAGAACAGTAACAAAGTTTAATGGCTGTGATAGGAGAAAACGGAGGATGGATCAACAACATTGTACTTACTCCACAATACTAACCTAATCGACATAGTGAAAACAAGGAAGCCGGCACAGAATAAAAATATTCCAAAACATGCATCCTGTTTTAAACAAGGCAATAAAGTAATACAGCAAAAAATGTGGCAAAGCAATTCACTTTTTGTCCTGAATACAAAGTTTTATGTTTGGGGCAAATCCAATACAACACACTATTGAGTACCACTCTCCATATTTTCAAGCATAGTGGTGGCTGCATCATGTTATGGGTATGCTTGTAATCATTAAAGGACTGGGGAGTTTTTCAGGATAAAAAAAGAAACGGAATGGAGCTAAGCACAGGCTAAATCCTAGAGGAAAATCTGGTTCAGTCTGCTTTCCACCAGAAACTGGGAGATGAATTCACCATTCAGCAGGACAATAACCTAAAACACAAGGCCAAATCTACATTGGAGTTGCTTACGTTCCTGAGTGGCCGAGTTACAGTTTTGACTTCCATCTATGGCAAGACCTGAGAAAATGATTGTATAGCAATGATCAACAACCAATTTGACAGTACTTAAATCATTTTGAAAATAATAATTGGCAATCCTGGTGTGGACAGCATTTAGAGACTTACCCAGAAAGACTCACAGCTGTAATCGCTGCCAAAGGTGCTTCTACAAAGTATTGACTCAGGGGTGTGAATACTTATGTAAAAATAGATATTTCTGTATTTTATTTTCAATCAATTAAAAACATGTTTTCACTTTGTCATTATGGGGTATTATCTGTAGATGGTTACAAAAATATATATATTCAGTTTGGACACACCTACTCATTCCAGGGTAATTTTTTACTATTTTCTACATTGTAGAATAATAGTGAAGACATTAAAACTATGAAATAACACATATGGAATCATGTAGTAACCAACAAAGTGTTAAACAAATCAAAATATATATTATATTTTAGATTCTTCAAAGTAGACACCCTTTGCCTTGATTACAGCTTTGCACACTCACCTGGAATGCATTTCAATTAACAGGTGTGCCTTGTTAAAAGTTAATTTGTGGAATTTTTTTCCTTCTTAATGCATTTGAGCCAATCAGTTGTGTTGTGACAAGGTAGGATTGGTATACAGAAGATAGCCCTATTTGGTAAAAGACCAAGTCCATATTATGGCAAGAACAGCTCAAATAAGCAAAGAGAAACGACAGTCCATCATTACTTTAAGACATGAAGGTCAGTCAATACGGAACATTTCAACAACTTTCAACATTTCTTCAAGTGCAGTCGCAAAAACCATCAAGCGCTATGATGAAACTGGCTCTCATGAGGACCGCCACAGGAATGGAAGACCCAGAGTTACCTCTTCTGCAGAGGATACGTTTATTAGAGTTAACTGCACCTCAGATTGCAGCCCAAATAAATGCTTCACAGAGTTCAAGTTACAGACACATCTCAACATCAACTGTTCAGAGGAGACTGTGTGAATCAGGCCTTCATGGTCGAATTGCTGCAAAGAAATCACTACTAAAGTACACCAATAAGAAGAAGAGACTAGCTTGGGCCAAGAAACACGAGCAATGGACATTAGACCAGTGGAAATTTGTCCTTTGGTCTGATGAGTCCAAATGTGAGATTTTTGGTTCCAACCGCTGTGTCTTTGTGAGAGGCAGAGTAGGTGAACGGATGATCTCTGCATGTGTGGTTCCCACCGTGAAGCATGGAGTAGGAGGTGTGATGGTGCTTTGCTGGAGACACTGTCTGTGATTTATTTAGAATTCAAGGCACACTTAACCAGCATGGCTACCAAAACATTCTGCAGCGATACACCATCCCATCTGGTTTGCGCTTAGTGGGACTATCATTCGTTTTTCAACAGGACAATGACCCAACACACCTCCAGGCTGTGTACGGGCTATTTGACCAAGAAGGAGTGTGATGGAGTGCTGCATCAGATGACCTGGCCTCCACAATCACCCGACCTCAACCCAATTGAGATGGTTTGGGATGAGTTGGAACGCAGAGTGAAGGAAAAGCTGCCAACAAGTGCTCAGCATATGTGGGAATTCCTTCAAGACTGTTGGAAAAGCATTCCAGGTGAAGCCAAGAGTGTGCAAAGCTGTCATCAGGGCAAAAGGTGGCTATTTTGAAGAATCTCAAATATAAAATGTATTTTGATTCCTACATGATTCCATATGTGTTATTTCATAGTTTTGAGGTCTTCACTATTATTCTACAATGTAGAAAATATTAAAAATAAAGAAAAACACTTGAATGAGTAGGCGTGTCCAAACTTTTGACTGGTACTGTATATATTTAATCAATTTTGAATTCAGGCTGAAACACAACAAAATGTAGAAGAAGTCAAGGGGTATGTACAGTGGGGGAAAAAAGTATTTAGTCAGCCACCAATTGTGCAAGTTCTCCAACTTAAAAAGATGAGAGAGGCCTGTAATTTTCATCATATGTACACATCAACTATGACAGACAAAATGAGAAAAAAATTCCAGAAAATCACATTGTAGGATTTTTTATGAATTTATTTGCAAATTATGGTGGAAAATAAGTATTTGGTCAATAACAAAAGTTTCTCAATACTTTGTTATATACCCTTTGTTGGCAATGACACAGGTCAAACGTTTTCTGTAAGTCTTCACAAGGTTTTCACACACTGTTGCTGGTATTTTGGCCCATTCCTCCATGCAGATCTCCTCTAGAGCAGTGATGTTTTGGGGCTGTCGCTGGGCAACACGGACTTTCAACTCCCTCCAAAGATTTTCTATGGGGTTGAGATCTGGAGACTGGCTAGGCCACTCCAGGACCTTGAAATGCTTCTTACGAAGCCACTCCTTCGTTGCCCGGGCGGTGTGTTTGGGATCATTGTCATGCTGAAAGACCCAGCCACGTTTCATCTTCAATGCCCTTGCTGATGGAAGGAGGTTTTCACTCAAAATCTCACGATACATGGCCCCATTCATTCTTTCCTTTACACGGATCAGTCGTCCTGGTCCCTTTGCAGAAAAACAGCCCCAAAGCATGATGTTTCCACCCCCATGCTTCACAGTAGGTATGGTGTTCTTTGGATGCAACTCAGCATTCTTTGTCCTCCAAACACGACGAGTTGAGTTTTTACCAAAAAGTTCTATTTTGGTTTCATCTGACCATATGACATTCTCCCAATCCTCTTCTGGATCATCCAAATGCACTCTAGCAAACTTCAGACGGGCCTGGACATGTACTGGCTTAAGCAGGGGGACACGTCTGGCACTGCAGGATTTGAGTCCCTGGCGGCGTAGTGTGTTACTGATGGTAGGCTTTGTTACTTTGGTCCCAGCTCTCTGCAGGTCATTCACTAGGTCCCCCCATGTGGTTCTGGGATGTTTGCTCACCGTTCTTGTGATCATTTTGACCCCACGGGGTGAGATCTTGCGTGGAGCCCCAGATCGAGGGAGATTATCAGTGGTCTTGTATGTCTTCCATTTCCTAATAATTGCTCCCACAGTTGATTTCTTCAAACCAAGCTGCTTACCTATTGCAGATTCAGTCTTCCCAGCCTGGTGCAGGTCTACAATTTTGTTTCTGGTGTCCTTTGACAGCTCTTTGGTCTTGGCCATAGTGGAGTTTGGAGTGTGACTGTTTGAGGTTGTGTACAGGTGTCTTTTATACTGATAACAAGTTCAAACAGGTGCCATTAATACAGGTAACGAGTGGAGGACAGAGGAGCCTCTTAAAGAAGAAGTTACAGGTCTGTGAGAGCCAGAAATCTTGCTTGTTTGTAGGTGACCAAATACTTATTTTCCACTATAATTTGCAAATAAATTCATTAAAAATCCTACAATGTGATTTTCTGGAGAAAAAAATCTCAATTTGTCTGTCATAGTTGACGTGTACCTATGATGAAAATTACAGGCCTCTCTCATCTTTTTAAGTGGGAGAACTTGCACAATTGTTGGCTGACTAAATACTCCCCCCCCCCCCACTGTACGTATGTGTATGTGTATGTGTGTGTGTGTGTGTGTGTGTGTGTGTGTGTGTGTGTGTGTGTGTGTGTGTGTGTGTGTGTGTGTGTGTGTGTGTGTGCGCGCATATGTATGTGCTTCAGATGAGAACCCGTCTGAACTTCTCTGACATTAGTATTTAAATATATGCACAAGCATATAGGCCTATGTGAATATTCTGTATGTATGTGATGTTGAAATAATCAACTCTATTTGTGAAAGTAGTACTGCACTGCTGCTACCAAACATTGATATGTCAAGTCTTGGCAGTAGCGCTGAATTATAGGGTCGTTTGAATGCATTTCATTGGTTTGATACAATCTTTTTTGTACATCTGTGAAATAAATATCCAGGCAGTAAATTAACATCACAGAGTTCTCACAAGGTCGGCAAATAGAGAGTACTGACTCACATAGTTACGTGCTGTTCTGACAACATGACGCAACATTCACTGAATTGGCATGGCACAGTTTATGCGAACACATACACACACAAATAACCAGAGCATGAAAGAAAACAGATTTGGAGAATTTCCCTTTTCCAAAATTCTTAAGACTTTATAATGAACCTAATCAAAAACCAGTACACAGTTTGGAAATTGAGGAATTTTGGGGGGCTGCCATGCTTGAGTTCATTCTAATGAATTGTTTGGTTCATGTCCCTGCTTAGCACTCAAAACCATGCCTGTTATGTCAGAGAAGTTGGTTCCGGTGCACGTCGATGTGCTGAGCACCTGTGGAGAGGGCTGGAGAGGGCACTTGAGCTAGGAAAACAAACACTTAGGAGGCCTCTGACGCAAATGCTGCCATTTTGATTTCACTACAGTAAGTAAACAATGGAGGAAGAGAGTTATACGAAAGGGTCCTAAAAAGGGATTCCAATCAAAAGGAGGCACAATTAGGGTACCTAAGGGAATTGAGGGTGGAGGTGGTATGTATGTATGTGTCTGTCTGCATTAGGGCTGGGCGATATATTGATTTATTTCGATTAATTTGAATGTATGTTTTTGCGCGATATTCCAAATGCCTGTATCGCAAGATTCAAGGTTTTGTTATTTTAAATGTTTATGAGTGTTTATGTCCGCTTGTTCTCATGTATTTTTGGTCTCGTCTCCTTCGCTCATCTGTGCTGTGTGCACCTTCCCATTTACACCAGCGATCCGTGTATATTGACGAGATGCTCGTCTCCGCCCAAACAATGGGAGTCGTTGTCCCAAAGGCGGGAAGGTAGGCGACAAGCTTAGGTCCAAAATAAGCCTATAGAAACGCATTGGCCTTATTTTGGACAGATCTTAGTGCTTCACCTCTTCCTCTATGGTTTACACACACACACCAAGCCCCTCCCCCCCTGCTTCTCATGTTAACAAAGTAGAGAGATCACATCTTCCTGTCTGACAAGCGGTTTCAACTCGCTATTTGTGTTTGAGGTTTGGTCAAATATGGACACCAAAACACATTGAGACATTATTTTACTGTAATAGAGGAGAAGTTAACTTTTCTAACGATACCCTTTTTATGTCTCAACTACTCAAATTGCGCGCAGAGCAGACACTACTGAAACAGGAGTATCAATGAACATTGATTCTGGAAAATGAATGCTCAGTTTGTCGTGTGCGGCATTGGGATACCACGTACCGCTAGCAGCATTTTTATACTAGCTGTCTAGTCTGTGTTTTATAAATGTGCAATAAGCATAAAACACAATTATATAAGGAATTGGCAACTCGTTCTCATTCTGAGAAATAAGGTAGGCCACTTGATTTCAACATCTGAACAAAGTGGACAGGCTAACACACTTTTCAAACAGTTGGAGATAGACAGAAGGGTGTTCATAACAATTAAACTGTTCAACCTTGTTCGCTAGCAAATAGATCCAAGTTGGCTAAACTTGAAATATAAAGATTAGCTGGCTAATTACTAGCACGTGGGCTTGAGAGATTGATGATGAGACCCGTGTTAATTTTCTATAGCCTAATGCCTGCTACAAGAACTTAGTCATTATTAGTGAATGTGCATTATGCATGGTTCTGGTTGAATTTGTAACAAAAAAGGGCATTTTCATTGACAGACTTGAAAGCCAGATCAGTGATTATTGCCCAAAAAAAGATATGATTTTTAGGCCATATGCCCAGCCCTAGTCTGCATACCTGCCTATGTGCGTATGTATGTGAGTGCATGTGCGTGCGTATGTTAGTGTGCATTTGTGTGTACCACCCACCTGATGGTAGAGCCCTGTAGCAGGTCTATCTTCTTGTTGAGCTCAGCGATGATGCTGTGCAGCTCTGTGATCCTCTCCTCGTATCGTAGGGTGGTCCGCTCCTGAACGTCCTCATGCTCCCGCGTCAGATAGGACTGCTCACACTGACAAAACACACACACACACACACACATTAACCCAATACCTTTTTATCCCACTGAGCTAATGCCTTAATATCTGAGAGGCAACCTATTCTGTTATTTGGGAATTTTGAAAGGAAAGCAATCTACAAAACGGCCAACATTTCCTAACTGACATCACATTTTAGAGATTGAATCATGTTACTGTAAAAATCCCCCATTCAAAACCCATAACAATGACGCCATTCAATGCTGAAGTGTGGAGAATGGCATTTGAACAAAGGTATCTTCCTACACAGTCATGTGTAATTTGGAATGGGAATAAATCCAGAGGCAATTCTCTGCTGGGTTGCCAGATTGTTGTCTCTGGCGCACACGCACACACACTGCACCATTGTGTGTGAGGTCAGGCCTAAGGGCTTTGCTGGGGATTGTCTACATGGAGCTCAGAGGCTGGGAAAGAGAGAAAGGTATCCGCTTTCCAGAAAAGAGGTGTGTGTATGCATGTGTGTGTGTGTGAGAGATCTGGCTTGAGCGTGTGTGTGTTATACTATGCTTCCTAGAATGACCTTAGCAGATCGGTATGTTTTCCTGGCCTGTGTCGGAGGTTGAACGTGAAAATGAAACAAAGACAGACAAAGAGGGGTCTGCCTAGTGCTTTATACAATGGGACATTAATCAAGCACTAAAACTACTATAAGCGGTCCCCTACAACTACTATGGACTTGTTCACAAAGGTTTAACGTTATGAAAATAATTCCTGTGTTTCTGTATGCATAAATCACACTGCCAAATAAATGTGAAAAATATAATAGAATTACATGATGAAAATACATAAACCTCTGTCATGAGGCACATGGGGGGGGTCGTGTGGAATCTTTCTATCTGCGACCTTCTAAACTAGCGCCCCATTGAATAAGTCTAAGCCCCAGGATTCTGAGAGTAGGAGTCATAGGTCAATAGGTCAGAAGCTTGGGGAGTCAGGAGTCAGGGGTGTACTTCACCCTAAACAAAAACATCTGTGTGTGAAAGGTCAGGGGTTCAGGTGACGAGGTATGTGCCTCAGGCTGACACAGCCATCAGAGTCCCCACGCAGAGACAGAGCCCCAATGTGTGTGTGTGTGTGTGTTATCCTATGTGTTGAGTCAGGAGTCTTTCTGTCAAATGGCCAGCAGTGACAATTAGAAGAGCTGAGTGGCTTTAGCTCCCTGCCCCAGGGAGAGCTGCAGTGACAAAGAGCAGCTTCCAGTCAGCCATTGTCAGGTCACACAGTGTGACGTGTGTCACTAACTGTCATAACCCCCATCCACTGTCGCCCATAGAGACACAACAGTCACTGATAGGAAGTGGCATGTGGTTTAAATCCTACTTGGTTTAAAGCAGTTTGGCTCAGACTTTCATAGGCAACATACTTCTACAAGGGCCAAAGATTCAAAAGTACATGTTGAGATGAAAAGCCGATAAAAAGCCTGCATTTTTTTTTTTGTGAGAGGGTGTTCTCAACAAATGGTCACCTCCAATACATTAGTCAACTGAAAAAACATCCACTTCAGGAAAACAACTATTTTGGAGTCAGAGTCAAACATCCTCCTTAGACTTCTAGTCATCACATATCCTTTGTATAAACTAGTTTGACTGAAATGTCCTGCATATTTACGGCTTTGGAATTTAGACCAGAGAGGGTTCAAATGTCAAAAGAGTGGGCACATTTAGATGACTCCCTTGCACTGGCTCTATGCACAATCACTAGACTCTACCCACACACTCACACATACTACACTGACACTCCAACACACACACACACACACACAATACATATGCTCACACACACAAAAACACACGCACACATGCTGTTGTTACTCTGTTTATTATACATTATATCCTGATTGGCTAATCCAGGGGTGTCAAACTCATTTTAGCTCAGGGGCCACATGGAGGAAAATCTATTCCCAAGTGGGCCGGACCGGTAAAATCATGGTATATATAACTTAAAAACAACAACTTCAGATTGTTTTCTTTGTTTTAATACTATCAACATAAAACATAAAGCTGGAGCCTGAGGACAGTGTGTCCAAAATAGTACAAGCACAACATCACTATTAATCATAAAACACCTCAAGTTTATTTGAAAATTCTAAAGAAAAAGAACACACAAACACACAATGCCTCAGTGATTCACAGAACTGTTTCACAGATCACAGAACTATATCAGGGTGTCATATCTCAGGCAGAAATGTAAATACAAATAATGAAATCCTGTTCCCCAAACAAGTGCAAGAACCACAGAGTCAAGAATAGGTGAAATATACAAATACAATAAAATCAATTAAAAACAATAGCACATCAACATAAAAAACAAATAAACATAAAGCTGGAGCCTGAGGACAGTGTCCAAAAGCACAACATCACTATTAATCATAAAACACCTCAAGCTATTTGAAATTCTGAGGACAAACAACACACAAACACACAATGCCTCAGTGATTCACAGAAGTATATCACAGATCACAGAACTATATCAGGGTGTCTCATGCAGCACTTTAAGTGGGGTTGCATAGTTTATTTGAATCCTGATACCTGGCATCTTTTAGCTTTCACCAGCGCATCAATATCAGCCGTCACATCCTGAGTGGCAGCCAACTTCAGGATGTGATTCAAGTGCTTGTGCGTGAGCCTTGAGCGCAGCTTTGTTTTATTTATGCTCATTACAGAGAACTTGCTCACAAAGATATGTGGTTCCAAACATGCACAACCGTTTTGCAGCGAGGGCTGTCAAGTTGGGGTAACCTGGCAAGAGATTCTGATAAAATGTGTCCAAGCCAGCTGCGGCAAATTTGCCCTTCAAATCCGAGTCACACTGCAAGTCTATTATTTCAAGTTGGATGCTGACGGGCAGATCAGAGGGATTCACGGTTAATGGCGAACAAAAAACGTTGAAGTCTTTCTCCAGTTCACCAAAAATCTGAAAGCGTTGCTCAAACTCCCTTAACAGTCCCGTTATTTTATCTTTGAACCGCTTCATGTCTGCCACATGTTGGGTCGCGCACACATTTTTCAGACAGGGGAAGTGAGCTGCATCACCACCGGCGAGTTGCGTCTCCCACAATGACAGCTTCAACTTGAAAGAACGTATGCTGTCATAATACTGCGTGGCAACTTTGTTGCACCCTTGCAGCTGTTTGTTCAAGTTATTCAGGTGCTCTGTAACATCCACCATAAATGCAAGGTCCTGCATCCATTCTGCGGAATGAAATTCTAACACTGGTTTGCCCTTTTCTTCCATGAACTGTTCAATTTCTTCTCGTAAATCAAAGAAACGCCTCAGCACAGCACCTCGGCTTAACCATCTTACCTCAGTGTGGTATGGCAGGCCATAGATGTGGTCTTTCTCTCTGAGAAGGCTGTCAAACTGACGTTGATTCAGGCTTCTGGATCGGATGAAATTAACAGTTTGGATAATATAATAATAATAATAATATAATATAATAATATAATAATAATATAATAAAAATAATAACCACCTTCATGACGTTATCCATCTTTAATGACTTGCAACACAAAGCCTCCTGGTGCAAAATACAGTGAAAAGTCCAAAAATCACGTCCTCCATTTGCAGATTGCACTTTCTCTCTGAACTTTGTCACAACGCCTGCTTTTTTCCCGATCATTGAGGGCGCACCATCTGTAGCCAGGCTGACAGCGCGGGACCAGTCCACTCCGACCCTGTCCAGCGCGCTGACGAGTGCAGTGAAAATATCAGCTGCTGTCGTTGTATCTGTCATCGGCACCAACTCCACGAACTCCTCGGTGACGGTCAATGTGTCATCAACTCTGCGGATGAAAATGGCCAGTTGTGCAACATCTGTAATGTCCGTGCTTTCATCAATTGCAACCGAAAACGCAATAAATTACTTTACTTTTTGCTTCAACTGGCTGTCCAAATCCACTGAAAGATCGGAAATTCTGTCTGCAACTGTGTTTCTTGTCAGGCTGATATTTGCAAAAACCTGGTGCTTTTCAGGGCACACAATCTCCGCTGCCTTCATCATGCATGTTTTTACAAATTCACCCTCACTAAATGGTTTTGAAGCCACTGCGATTTCATTAGCAATGAGGTAGCTAGCTTTCACTGCAGCGTCACTGATGTCTCGGCTGTGAGTAAACACAGACTGCTGTTTCTTCAGACCCGCCAACAGTTCATTCACCTTCTCTCTTCTCCGCTGTCCTTGAAAGTTGTCATATTTGTCGGCATGAAGACTCACATAGTGGCGACGAAGGTTATATTCTTTCAGCACTGCAACATGCTGTGAACACACCAAACATACAGCTTTCCCATTCAAATCCGTGAATAAATAGAAGGATGACCATTTTTCTTGGAACACTCTGCACTCTGCGTCCACTTTTCTCTTTTTTGACAGAGACATATTGGGGCAATGAGGGTGCCAAAGCACATAATGTTAAAAGTAGAAGCCGTAATAAATATCGCGGGCAAAACAAAGTAGCTCATCCGGACTGGCTGCACTTGCTTGACCTATTTGCTCTGCCCCGGTATAAACAGTTTGCTTGCTTAACAAAATTGCTATTGCGCCATCCAGTGGACACAATTGGAACAGCAGTTTCTTTTATTGAAAAATTGCAGCTCATTTTTATACTTTACAAAATCATCTCGCGGGCCGGATTAAACCCGTTTGCGGGCCTGTTCCGGCCCGCGGGCCGGACGTTTGACACCCCTGCGCTAATCACTTTTACCCCTACCCACATGTACATACTGTATTACCTCAATTACCTCAACTACCCTATATGTACACAAAAGTATGTGGACACCCCTTCAAATCAGTGGTTTCGGCTATTTCAGCCACACCCGTTGCTGACAGGTGTATAAAATCGAGCACACATCCATGCAATCTCAATTGACAAACATTGGCAGTAGAATGGCCTTAATGAAGAGCTCAGTGACTTTCAACGTGGCACCGTCATAGGATGCCACCTTTCCAACAAGTGAGTTCGTCAAATTTCTGCCCTGCTAGAGCTGCCCTGGCCAACTGTAAGTGCTGTTATTGTGAAGTGGAAACGTCTAGGAGCAACAACGGCTCAGCTGCGAAGTGGTAGGCCACATAAGCTCACAGAACGGGACCGCCGATTGCTGAAGCGCATAAAGATCATCTGTCCTCGGTTGCAACACTAACTACTGAGTTCCAAACTGCCTCTGGAAGCAACGTCAACACAAGAACTGTTCATCGGGAGCTTCATGAAATGGGTTTCCATGGCAGAGCAGCTGCTCACAAGCCTAAGATCCCCATGGGCAAAGCCAAGCATCGATTGGAGTGGTGTAAAGCTCCCCACCATTGGACTCTGGAGCAGTGGAAACGCGATCTCTGGATTGATGAATCACGCTTCACAATCTGGCAGTCTGACGGACAAATCTGGGTTTGGCGGATGCCAGGAGAACACTACCTGCCCAAATGCATAGTGCCAACTATACGGGCTAGGCCCCTTAGTTCCAGTGAAGGGAAATCTTAACGCTACAGCATACAATGACATTCTAGATGATTCTGTGCTTTCAACTTTGTGGCAAAAGTTTGGGGAAGGCCCTTTCCTTTTTCAGCATGACAATGCCCCCATGCACAAAGCGAGGTCCATACAGAAATGGTTTGTCGAGATCGGTGTGGAAGAACTTGACTGGCCTGCACAGAGACCTGACCAAACTCCATCAAACGCCTTTGGAATGAATTGGAACGACGACTGCGACCCAGGCATCAGTGCCCGACCTCACTAATGCTTGTGGCTGAATAGAAGCAAGTCACTGCAGCAATGTTCCAACATCTAGTGGAAAGCCTTCCCAGAAGAGTGGAGGCAGCAAAGGGGGGACCAACTCCATATTAATGCCCATGATTTTGGAATGAGAAGTTCGACGAGAACATACTTTTGGTCATGTCGTGTACCTCATACCCCTGCACATTGACTCGGTACTGGTACTCCTTCTATATAGCCCCTTTATTGTTTTTATTGTGCTACTATTTCCAACTGTTGCCGTGCTGACACTTTGAGTTAGGAGACAGTTTGTTGTGGGACCTGACAGGGCCCTGCGATGTGTGTAGCTACTAACTGGGCTATGCATAAGGGTTCCAGTCATTACTCTACACAGACACCAACAGCCATGCTTCTGGCAATACATATACAGTGAGGGAAAAAAGTATTTGATCCCCTGCTGATTTTGTACGTTTGCCCACTGACAAAGACATGATCAGTCTATAATTTTAATGGTAGGTTTCATTTGAACAGTGAGAGACAGAATAACAACAACAAAATCCAGAAAAACGCATGTCAAAAATGTTATAAATTGATTTGCATTTTAATAAGGGAAATACGTATTTGACCCCCTCTCAATCAGAAAGATTTCTGGCTCCCAGGTGTCTTTTATACAGGTAACGAGCTGAGATTATGAGCACACTCTTAAAGGGATTGCTCCTAATCTCAGTTTGTTACCTGTATAAAAGACACCTGTGCACAAAAGCAATCAATCAATCAGATTCCAAACTCTCCACCATGGCCAAGACCAAAGAGCTCTCCAAGGATGTCAGGGACAAGATTGTAGACCTACACAAGGCTGGAATGGGCTACAAGACCATCGCCAAGCAACTTGGTGAGAAGGTGACAACAGTTGGTGCGATTATTCGCAAATGGAAGAAACACAAAATAACTGTCAATCTCCCTCAGCCTGGGGCTCCATGCAAGATCTCACCTCATGGAGTTGCAATGATCATGAGAACGGTGAGGAATCAGCCCAGAACTACACGGGAGGATCTTGTGAATGATCTCAAGGCAGCTGAGACCATAGTCACCAAGAAAACAATTGGTAACACACTACGCTGTGAAGGACTGAAATCCTGCAGCGCCCGCAAGGTCCCCCTGCACATATACAGGCCCGTCTGAAGTTTGCCAATGAACATCTGAATGATTCAGAGGAGAACTGGGTGAAAGTGTTGTGGTCAGATGAGACCAAAATCGAGCTCTTTGGCATCAACTCAACTTGCCGTGTTTGGAGGAGGATGAATGCTGCCTATGACCCCAAGAACACCATCCCCACCATCAAACATGGATGTGGAAACATTATGCTTTAGGGGTGTTTTTCTGCTAAGGGGACAGGACAACTTCACCGCATCAAAGGGACGATGGACGGGGCCATGTACCATCAAATCTTGGGTGAGAACCTCCTTCCCTCAGCCAGGGCATTGAAAATGGGTCGTGGATGGGTATTCCAGCATGACAATGAACCAAAACACACAGCCAAGGCAACAAAGGAGTGGCTCAAGAAGAAGCACATTAAGGTCCTGGAGTGGCCTAGCCAGTCTCCAGACCTTAATCCCATAGAAAATCTGTGGAGGGAGCTGAAGGTTCGAGTTGCCAAACGTCAGCCTCAAAACCTTAATGACTTGGAGAAGATCTGCAAAGAGGAGTGGGACAAAATCCCTCCTGAGATGTGTGCAAACCTGGTGGCCAACTACAAGAAACATCTGACCTCTGTGATTGCCAACAAGGGTTTTGCCATCAAGTACTAAGTCATATTTTGCAGAGGGATCAAATACTTATTTCCCTCATTAAAATGTTAATCAATTTATAACATTTTTGACATGGATTTTGTTGTTGTTATTCTGTCTCTCACTGTTCAAATAAACCTACCATTAAATACATTATAGACTGATCATTTCTTTGTCAGTGGGCAAACGTACAAAATCAGCAGGGGATCCAATACTTTTTTCCTTCACTGTAGGCTGTGAATAGGCTAATGGACAGCTAGAATGAGACCCTGGACACAGACACCTAAAGTGAGATGTGTAGTTTGTATCATAAAAAGACACAGAAAAGGGCAAATCAATGGGAACCAAACGTTTCAATTGTCTGCCAGTGCATATATAGGCCTAGTGTCTCTGTAGAATATTGGGTGTGATGACATCACTGTCTAATCCATCAGTGGTCTCTCTGTCACACTCAACAATTACCAATGTCAGCCAGACTGGATTTATTCCATTCACTCTAGGCTTGGGTGGTATACCGTATATACCGTATACAGGGGTATTTGGAAATAGCCACGGGATGGTTTTTCAAATACCAGTAATGTTCTTCCTTCAGACAAGCAGGCGTCAAAACTTTGTTCGTTTGCACAATGTCTCTCATTCATATTTGCTTGTAAATGTCCAAACTCACCAAAAATTAAATTCGGTAGCTCCTACCTACAGTGGGGAGAACAAGTATTTGATACACTGCCGATTTTGCAGGTTTTCCTATTTACAAAGCATGTAGAGGTCTGTAATCCAGAAAATCACATTGTATGATTTTAAAGTAATTAATTTGCATTTTATTGCATGACATAAGTATTTGATACATCAGAAAAGCAGAACTTAATATTTGGTACAGAAACCTTTGTTTGCAATTACAGAGATCATACGTTTCCTGTAGGTCTTGACCAGGTTTGCACACACTGCAGCAGGGATTTTGGCCCACTCCTCCATACAGACCTTCTCCAGATCCTTCAGGTTTCGGGGCTGTCACTGATGATAAAAATTACAGACCTCTACATGCTTTGTAAGTAGGAAAACCTGCAAAACCTGCAAAATCGGCAGTGTATCAAATACTTGTTCTCCCCACTGTATATATGTCTAACATTATGAGCTGGATTGCCGGTATTTGCAATTCGTTTATTTACGTTTGAGTGCATTAGCATATTTAGTTAGCAGCCTCCATGGAAATTCGCTATTACTTGTGCTATTTTTGTTAGCATTCTGGTAATAGATGCCCAGACGCTTGAGTTTTTTGGCGCCCCCTTATGTATTAAACCGGTAATACCATAAATCCTGGGATGAGAGAAGGACGGTATGACGATATGAAAATGTTGATACAGCCCAACCCTAATCACAATGGAATCTAATAACAATGGCAAGTGCATGTACATTCCAAGCTATTTCTTTATCTTAAAACTAATGGTCTAATCCTCTTCATCTAACTCCAGTGGAACAGATGGGAAACTAAAATAAAAAAACAAATGTTTCTAGCATTAATATTTGACACAAATAATAGTACCAGATAGCCTATTGTTTACAACAGCCGCCACTAGGGAAATACCCATTGCTGATGTAGCTGCCAGAGGTATTCCACAGCTCTTTAAACCAGCGTCTGTTTGTAGTGGTCCAGGGAGAGGGGAGAGGAGAGAGAGAGAGAGAGTGCACGAGATAGAGAGAGCGAGAGAGAGAGTGGCCAGGCTGTTTATAGAACAGGTACTCACACAATCTGTCTCGCTATTTCTCTCCGTCTATCACACGCACTCCATTACACAAACGCATAAACACCCAATAATTATCTCCATAAACAGGCATTCTCCCCCTTTCTCGTTCTCACACACACCAAGCAAGCCCAAAACTCCATCCTCGGAGAGAGACAGTGCCAATCACTGGGACTGGGAAAACTACAAAGCAGATCGAAGCTGAGCAGTTGGCATGATTACTGACGTTCCTGGTTCCAGTGACATATGGGGTGTGTTGCTTCATGCCAAATAATCCCCAAATCAATTTCCTCTTTATTTAAAAAGGTAAAGCTTCCAGTCTCTCATCACTGTATGAGATCAGGGATTCAGAGAGCCAGAGCTGGAATGAATTCCTCCTCCTCCTCTAATACACACCCAAGGTCACAGAGAATACCAGTCACTGGGACAATAGCATTACACTGAAAACAATGTAAATAATACAATACTATGAGCAATGTAATGGGAAGGTGATACCCGACTGCTGAAAAGAAAGCAGTTCCTTTCCAGCATGCTAGAATGATGGAAACGACAAAAAAATTATCTCTGTGATGGTGTCATCATCATTCTGCACCTCTTCTCTATGTAGTCTGATTGGAGCATATGGACTGGGTGTTTTGGGGGAAGAGGCGGGGAGGATTCCCAGACGCATTGCAATAGATGAGCCATACAATTCAATGCCTGTGTGCAATGTCAGCTATTCCTGGATATTCTTCAAAAAAGGAAATCTCACTCATATGAAGCCAGTGCAATTCCATCACAGCTTTTTACTGTAGTTCTTTAACATCTATCATTCTTTAGCAGTTTAGGTTATTATTCAAAGATAAAAATCGCTAACCCTACAAAATAATGTTTCCATACCAGAGAGGTCTAATCCACAGGTGCAGAAAATAGGAAGAGAAAGAGGAACTATTTACAGTGTTTTTTTTATAATTATGGATCATGGTGAAAGATCCACTTCAGCTGGCTTGTAGACAGAAATATTATTAAGATTTGTAAGGCTTTAAATGGGGTGGTGCCGGTAACCACTGCATTACACCAATGTTCTGGTCATAGGACTTTGAATGGATAGCCTAGCTAAGTGAGTGTCCAATACAATGATGAATATGAGTCTATGTGAATATACACTCAGGGGCCAGTTTATTAGGTACATCCATCTAGAACCGAGTTGGAACCCCCTTTGCATCCAGAACAACATGAATTATTTGGGGCATGGAAACAGTGCTCAATTGGTATCAAGGGACCTAACGTGTGCCAGGAAAACATTCCCCACACCATTCCCGAGTGGCGCAGTGGTCTAAGGCACTGCATCGCAGTGCAAGCTGTGCCACTAGAGATCCTGGATCGAGTCCAGGCTCTGTCGCAGCCGGCTGCGACCGGGAAACCCATGGGCGGCGCACAATTGGTCCAGCGTTGTCCAAGGTAGGGGAGGGTTTGGCCGGCAGGGATGTGGGTTCGTTTCCCACGGGGGGCCAGTATGAAAAAAACAAAACAAAAAACAAACATGTATGTATTCACTAACTGTAAGTCGCTCTGGATAAGAGCGTCTGCTAAATGACTAAAATGTAAAATTATACCACCGCCACCAGCCTGTACCGTTGACACCAGGCAGGATGGGTCCCTGGACTCATGCTGCTTACGCCAAATGCAAATAGTCCAGGTTGCCATGATTAGCTGTTCAGGAGTCTTATGGCTTGGGGGTAGAAGCTGTTAAGAAGCCTTTTGGACCTAGACTTGGCGCTCCGGTACCGCTTGCCGTGCGGTAGCAGAGAGAACAGTCTATGACTAGGGTGGCTGGAGTCTTTGACAATTTTGAGGGCCTTCCTCTGACACCGCCTGGTATAGAGGTCCTGGATGACAGGAAGCTTGGCCCCAGTGATGTACTGGGCCGTACGCACTACCCTCTGTAGTGCCTTGCGGTCGGAGGCCGAGCAGTTGCCATACCAGGCGGTGATGCAACCAGTCAGGATGCTCTCGATGGTGCAGCTGTAGAACCTTTTGAGGATCTGAGGACCCATGCCAAATCTTTTCAGTCTCATGAGGGGGAATAGGCTTTGTCGTGCCCTCTTCACGACTGTCTTGGTGTGTTTGGAACCATGATAGTTTGTTGGTGATGTGGACACCAAGGAACTTGAAGCTCTCAACCTGTTCCACTACAGCCCCGTCGATGAGAATGGGGTCGTGCTCAGTCCTCTTTTTTTCCCCTGTAGTCCACAATCATCTCCTTTGTCTTGATCACGTTGAGGGAGAGGTTGTTATCCTGGCACCACACGGCCAGGTCTCTGACCTCCTCCCTATAGGCTGTCTCATAATTGTCGGTGATCAGGCCTACCACTGTTGTGTCGTCAGCAAACTTAATGATGGTGTTGGAGTCGTGCCTGGCCATGCAGTCATGGGTGAACAGGGAGTACAGGAGGGGACTGAGCACGCACCCCTGAGGGGCCCCCATGTTGAGGATCAGCGGGGCAGATGTGTTGTAACCTACCCTTACCACCTGGGGGCGGCACGTCAGGAAGTCCAGGATCCAGTTAAAGAGGGAGCTGTTTAGTCCCAGGGTCCTTAGCTTAGTGATGAGCTTTGAGGGCACTGTGGTGAGCTGTAGTCAATGAATAGCATTCTCACGTAGGTGTTCCTCTTGTCCAGGTGGGAAAGGGCAGTGTGGAGTGCAATAGAGACTGCATCATCTGTGGATCTGTTGGGGCGGTATGCAAATTGGAGTGGGTCTAGGTCTTCTGGGATAATGGTGTTGATGTGAGCCATGACCAGCCTTCAAAGCACTTCATGGCTACAGATGTGAGTGCTACGGATCGGTAGTCATTTAGGCAGGTTATCTTAGTGTTCTTGGGCACAGGGACTATGGTGGTCTGCTTGAAACATGTTGGTATTACAGACTCAGTCAGGGACATGTTGAAAATGTCAGTGAAGACCAGTTGGTCAGCGCATGCTCGGAGTACACGTCCTGGTAATCCGTCTGGCCCTGCGGCCTTGTGAATGTTGACCTGCTTAAAAGTCTTACTCACATCGGCTATGGAGAGCGTGATCACATAGTCATCCGTAACAGCTGATGCTCTCATGTATGCTTCAGTGTTGCTTGCCTCGAAGCGAGCATATAAATTATTTAGCTCGTCTGGTAGGCTTGTGTCACTGGGCAGCTCGTGGCTGTGCTTCCCTTTGTAGTCTGTAATAGTTTTCAAGCCCTGCCACATCCGACGAGCGTCAGAGCCAGTGTAGTACGATTCAATCTTAGTCCTATATTGACTATTTGCCTGTTTGATGGTTCGTCGTAGGGCATAGCGGGATTTCTTATAAGCGTCCGGGCTAGAGTCCTACTCCTTGAAAGCGGCAGCTCTACCCTTTAGCTCAGTGCGGATCTTGCCTGCAATCCATGGCTTCTGGTTGGGGTATGTACGTACGGTCACTGTGGGGACAACGTCATCAATGCACTTATTGATGAAGCCAGTGACTGATGTGGTGTACTACTCAACGCTATCGGAAGAATACCGGAACATATTCCAGTCTGTGCTAGCAAAACTGTCCTGTAGCTTAGCATCTGCGTCATCTGACCACTTTTTTATTAACCAAGTCACTGGTGCTTCCTGCTTTAGTTTTTGCTTATAAGCAGGAATCAGGAGGATAGAGTTATGGTCAGATTTGCCAAATGGAGGGCGAGGGAGAGCTTTGTACGCGTCTCTGTGTGTGGAGTAAAGGTGGTCTAGAGTTTTTTTCCTCTGGTTGCACATTTAACATGCTGGTAGAAATTAGGTAGAATGGATTTAAGTTTCCCTGCATTAAAGTTCCCGGCCACTAGGAGCGCTGCCTCTGGATGACCGTTTTCCTGTTTACTTATGGCCTTATACAGCTCATTGAGTGCAATCTTAGTGCCTGCATCGGTTTGTGGTGGTAAATAGACAGCTACGAAAAATATAGATGAAAACTCTCTTGGTAAATAGTGTGGTCTACAGCTTATGATGAGATACTCTACCTCAGGCGAGCAAAACCTTGAGACTTCCTTAGTATTAGATTTTATGCACCAGCTGTTGTTTACAAATATACACAGACCGCCACCCCTTGTCTTACCGGAGTCAGCCGTTCTATCCTGCCGATGTAGTGTATATCCCGCCAGCTGTATGTTATCCATGTCGTCGTTCAGCCACGACTCGGTGAAACATAAGATATTACAGTTTTTAATGTCCCGTTGGTAGGATAACCGTAATCTTAGGTCGTCTAACTTATTTTCAAATGATTGAACATTGGCTAATAGGATTGATGGAAGAGGCAGTTTACTCGCTCGCCGTCGGATCTTTACAAGGCACCCCGACCTACGTCCACGATATCTCCGTCTTTTTCTCATGCGAATGACGGGGATTTGGGCCTTGTCGGGTGTCTGTAGGATATCCTTCGCGTCCGACTCGTTGAAGAAAAAATCTTCGTCCAATACGAGGTGAGTAATCGCTGTTCTGATATCAAGAAGCTCTTTTTTGTCATAAGAGACGGTGGCAGAAACATTATGTACAGAATAAATTACAAATAACGCGAAGAAACACACATAATAGTACAATTGGTTAGAGGGCTGTAAAACGGCAGCCATCTTCTTCGGCGCCGCTGCTCTGCTCATTTATCGGTCTGTTTGTGGTCCACCTGTTAGCTTGCACGATTCTTGCCATTCATTTCGACCTTTCATCAACGAGCGGATTTCGCCCCAAAGGACCGCCACAGACTGGATGTTTTTTATTTGTCGCACCATTCTCGATAAACCCTAGACATTGTCGGCCGGCCATTTCTGAGATACTAGAACCGGCGTGCCTGGCACCGACGATCATACCACGCTCAGAGTCGCTTAGGTCACTCGTTTTGCCCATTCTAACGTTCAATCGAAAAGTAACAATGCCTCGATGCCTGTCCGCCTGCTTTATATAGCAAGCCACGGCCACATGACTCAATTTTCATGAACGAGGTGTACCTAATAAACTGGCCAATGAGTGTATATCTATGGCCCAGTAGAGTAGAATACCTGTGCCTTGGCCAGTCTCTTCTCCAGCATCTCTCTCTCTCTCTCCGTCTGCACCAGCCGCTTGTTCAACTCCACTACGTCCCCCTTCAACGAGGCCAGGGCTGCCAGGTGGAGCTAAGGAGAGAGGGGAGAGGAGAGAGCATTACAACCATAACACACCACACACATACACACAAGCACACACATTCCAAGTTACAACATATACAGTGAGTACAGAGCACACGCACTTCTTTGCCCTCACACACAGACACTCTCCAGGGAAGGGTTTAAGCCCAAAGCAGAACAGAGAGAGTCTTAACACTTTAGCATGTGGAGCAAGCAGACTTTTCACTTGGGTGGGCCGAGATGTCACACACACAAGCCTGTTCAACTGTCTGAGGGCTCACACACACACTCCTCTATTCAGGTAACCTACTCACAGTCATGATTTAAGCCGTATGCTTTCCTAATAATGTGGTCCTCTGTAGCTCAGCTGGTAGAGTACGGCGCTTGTAACACCAAGGTAGTGGGTTCGATCCCCGGGACCACCCATACACAAAAATGTATGCACGCATGACTGTAAGTCGCTTTGGATAAAAGCGTCTGCTAAATGGCATATTATTATTATATTATTATTATAATACCAAAAGCAACTTCCATTTGAAAAAAAATATGACCACGCTTTTTAAATGGTATAGGTTAAGTTACAGAGGAGAGGACTACCTTGGCTTAGACTTACTCCATAAACCAAAAAAAAACAGCACAGTCATGCTTTCTCATATCAAGGGAAAAGTCTCTTAAACTAAATATAAGCCCAGTGGCATTAGAAAACTCTGCTCTTACCCCTTACCTCAGCATATAGCAACAGAATAACAGAAAACTATAGGAAAGAGGGATAAGAAAAAGACGTCAAACTTCTCAGAGACCAGCTTTCTGTTTCACCATGCCGCGGGGAGGCTTAACTCTCAGAGGAACTAGAGCTGTCGTGACTAGGCAGAGACCAAGTCCAGACACACACACAGACACATCGCATGGGACTGCATGCCACCAAGCTGCAAGGAGAGTCCTTTCCAAACGAGACAGGGGAGCTGACTTGGTTTTCAAGGGAAGAAAGACCAACTGTGAGACCAACCTCCAAATATACCCGACCATGGTCGGTGATGCTAAAGTTAGCCTCTACTGCTAACCTAACTCAAACCAGCCCCTGAATATGTATTTTCACTGCTTGAGTTGTATCTGTAGTATAGCCTAGTGGTTCCAAAACCTTTTTTCTTGTGGACCTCTAGACCAGTGTTTCCCAACCCTGGTCCTGGAGTACCCCCAACAGTACACATTTTTATTGTAACTCTGGACAAGCACACCTGATTCAACTTGTCAACTAATCATCAAGCCCTCAATGAGTTGAATGAGATGTGGTTGTCCAGGGCTACAACGAAACTGTGTACTGTTGGGGGTACTCGCAGACCAGGGTTGGGAAACACTGCTAGACAAAGCAATGTTATAAGCCTAACCAGTGACCACAGCACAATCAGCACAAGCCAAACCTCAGTAAGAATTGTCCGCGACCCAACAAGTGTGTCTCTACCTACCATTTGGCAAACAGGCTACACAAATAATATGCAGTCCATACAGGCTTACAATACTTCAAGGTGAATCTTTTGGACTCAGTACTTTTAACAATAACTCCTGAATAGTACATTCTTGGTTTAAAGTCAGTTGCACAGTACTCAAACGGAAAGTGGTATTCATTTACATAACTTCAAGGTGAATCTTCCTTTCACTTTACCTACATTTTCTCTATACACAGAACTCCATACACACTGACTCTTTTAAAACCATAACTCTAGATAGAACAAGTACGCATTGCTGCGTCGGCAGCGATTTGAATTAATTAACCAGCGATAGTGTGTTTCCTCTGCCATCTCTGATGAGCCCTGAGGGGAAGAAACGCATTGAATTAATCCACTCAGGAAGTGGAAAAACGAAAACATCACAGAGAGTGACTGCAAGGTTCACCTGCTGTTCCAAATGGACCATTTAACTATCTCTCTCTCTCAACAGAGAAAGATAGAGAGAGCATTTCAAATGAGGGATGTTTATTGAAGGCCTCATTACATAGACATAGGGAAGATCCAGTGAGGAACAAATCAGGTTTAGGATATAGTAAAACACCTTATCCTAATACTGAACGCTGAGCCTCTTTGCACCTGCACACACATTGCTATGTGACTGTTCACAAAACGTATAATCTAAATCAATTTGGTATTAGATAGACACAGCATTGGCCATTATATACATATACAGTACCAGTCAAAAGTTTGGACACACCTAAACATTCAAGAGTTGTTCTTTATTTTTACTATTTTCTAGATTGTAGAATAATAGTGAAGACATCAAAACTATGAAATAACACATATGGAATCATGTAGTAACCAAAAAAAGTGTTAAACAAATCAAAATATATTTTTTATATTTGAGATTCTTCAAATAGCCACCCTTTGCCTTGATGACAGCTTTGCACACTCTTGGCATTCTCTCAACTGGCTTCATGAGGTAGTCACCTGGAATGCATTTCAATTAACAGGTGTGCCTTCTTAAAAGTTAATTTGTGGAATTTCTTTCCTTCTTAATGAATTTGAGCCAATCAGTTGTGTTGTGACAAGGTAGGGGGGGTATACAGAAGATAGCCCTATTTGGTAAAATACCAAGTCCATATTATGGCAAGAACAGCTCAAATAAGCAAAGAGAAATGACAGTCCATCATTACTTTAAGACATGAAGGTCAGTCAATCCGGAAAAGTCAAGAACTTTGAACGTTTCTTCAAGTGCAGTCGCAAAAACCATCAAGCGCTATGATGAAACTGGCTCTCATGAGGACCGCCACAGGAATGGAAGACCTAGAGTTACTTCTGCTGCTGAGGATAAGTTCATTAGCGTTACCAGCCTCAGAAATTGCAGCCCAAATAAATGCATCACAGAGTTCAAGTAACAGACACATCTCAACATCAACTGTTCAGAGGAGACTGTGTGAATCAGGCCTTCATGGTCGAATTGCTGCAAAGAAACCACTACTAAAGGACACCAATAAGAAGAAGAGACTAGCTTGGGCCAAGAAACACGAGCAATGGACATTAGACCGGTGGAAATGTGTCCTTGTCTGGAGTCCAAATTGGAGATTTTTGGTTCCAACCGCCGTGTCTTTGTGAGATGCGGTGTGGATGAACGGATGATCTCCGCATATGTATTTCCCACCGTAAAGCATGGAGGAGGAGGTGTTATGGTGTGGGGGTGCTTTGCTGGTGACACTGTCTGTGATTTAATTAGAATTCAAGGCACACTTATCCAGCATGGCTACCACAAAATTCTGCAGTGATACGCCATCCCATCTGGTTTGCGCTTAGTGGGACTATCATTTGTTTTTCAACAGGACAATGACCTAACACACCTCCAGGCTGTGTAAGGGCTATTTTACCAAGAAGGAGAGTGATGGAGTGCTGCATCAGATGACCTGGCCTCCACAATCCCCCGACCTCAACCCAATTGAGATGGTTTGGGATGAGTTGGACTGCAGTGAAGGAAAAGCTGCCAACAAGTGCTCAGCATATGTGGGAACTCCTTCAAGACTGTTGGAAAAGCATTCCAGGTGACTACTAACAGTTGATGTTGAGATGTGTCTGTGACTTGAACTCTGTGAAGCATTTATTTGGGCTGCAATGTCTGAGGCTGGTAACTCTAATGAACTTATCTTCTGCAGCAGAGGTAACTCTGGGTCTTCCATTCCTGTGGCGGTCCTCATGAGAGCCAGTTTCATCATAGCGCTTAACGTTCAAAGTTCTTGACTTTTCCGTATTGACTGACCTTCATGTCTTAAAGTAATGATGGACTGTCGTCTCTCTTTGATTATTTGAGCTGTTCTTGCCATAATATGGACTTGGTCTTTTACCAAATAGGGCTATCGTCTGTATACCCCCCCTACCTTGTCACAACACAACTGATTGGCTCAAACGTATTAAGAAGGAAAGAAATTCCACAAATTAACTTTTAAGAAGGCACACCTGTTAATTGAAATGCATTACAGGTGACTACCTCATGAAGCCGGTTGAGAGAATGCCAAGAGTGTGCAAAGCTGTCATCAAGGCAAAGGGTGGCTATTTGAAGAATCTCAAATATAAAATACATTTGGATTTGTTTAACACTTTTTTGGTTACTACATGATTCCATATGTGTTATTTCATAGTTTTGATGTCTTCACTATTATTCTACAATGTAAAATAATTGTTAAAATAAAGAAAAACCCTTGAATGAGTAGGTGTGTCCAAACTTTTGACTGGTAGTATATATATATAAATGACACTGTAGTTTGTATGAAAAGGCTTAAGCTTCCATGATAAGTAAATGAGTGAGACAATGACATAAATCAATGCATCGTTTAACCAGTCATCTTCACCATTCGCTCAACTGGTGGGGCCAACCACCAGAACTAACCTTCGGTCCACATCCAATCAGAAGAGCATCCAAAACCACTGAACCCTGGGAAAAAGCTATAAGGGTCGGGAGAGAGATCAGCGGTGGAAAGAGGAAAATGACATGGGAGACAGACTGAAAAGCAGGCAGAGGCTTGAAGTAGAGGTATTTAGTGACCCCAGACAGTACACAAGCACAACCCTTGATCTCAGTGTTGGGTTTCACCATGAGGAGAGAAAAGGACGGGGTAGCCTTGACCTTCTTACTCTATTTCAGTGGTCACCAAGCGATCGACTGGTCGCTCTCCAAGGCATTCCTAGTCGATCGCGAAATATTGATATAATAAACGCAACGATAAATCCATGCATTCCTACTTTTTTTCTGTCTCGCGCTGTTAGACGTAGGTGCACTTATTTCAGCTGCTCTGCGCGCCGGGTAGGCGAAGTTGTTCCCATTTTGAACCATTTAATGTGTCTGAAGGTACAAACTACGCCTACTTGGCGTGCCCGGGAGTGCAAATCAAGTGTACCTATTGGCCGACCGCTAGCCAATCGGATTGCTCAGATCACCATGTCTGTCTGCTGCTTGCTCGAGCGCGTAGCAAAGTTGATACTTAGATTTCAAAAAGTCTAAAACCATGACTAGAGAGAGACTTTCCTCTGTAGCTCAATTGGTAGAGCATGGCGCCAGGGTAGTGGGTGCGATCCCCGGGACCACCCATACGTAAAAATGTATGCACACATGACTGTAAGTCGCTTTGGATAAAAGCGTCTGCTAAATGGGATATTATTATTATATTATTATTATTTTTGCAGCAAAGAGTTGGTGTTATGAGTGAGTTCATGTTAAAGTTTTTATTCAGCACTGTCAACACTTTTTATTCAACACTTTTATAAACCATTACATTCGCTCTTCCACTTGTGCTGCAACCAGCACTGCAGCTTCAATGAATGACTAGCAAAGTGTATCGATAGGCTTGCGTTTTTTAATATCGAGTAACAACATGAATATGTGCATGAGGCAGAAATAATGTGGTGTTTTGCTGTCAGCTCAAAGACGGTGTCCCCTTTTTGGCCAGTATTAGCGGAGGGGGGAGAGCTGAGGGACGGTCTGACGGTGAGAGGCTGAACCTCTGATACTCTCCCTCCGCAGAGACTGACCATCAGATGCAAGCACAATCAGTCCAATAAAATAAAGAAAGCACATTATTTCAATGTATGCTCACTCAGCTGTGCCTCACAAGTCATACAACAAATGATCTATTAACAGTGTGATCATATACTGTAGCTCATGTTTTCAAATATAATTTTTAAATGGTCTGAGAAGTACAACATTGGCAGGGCAATTCAAGCATAGCCAATATGCATATTGGGATAATGTACAAACCTCATTGCTACAGAACTGTTTTTAATAGATTCATGTCATGTTTTTTTTTTTATCTGAGCGGTAGATCGGCCTTCAATTTGACTCCGAAAGTGATCTCGGCTCAGAAAAGTTTGGGGACCACTGCTCTATTTCAATTACAGTTCTTCAATTGGAGTTATTGAATACAGTGATGTAGTAGGGAGTTGTAGTTTCCAACAGGCCAATATTCTACATAGTTTAGTGCAGAAATTGTGGTAATTAACTACAATGACCATAATCCATTGTGCTCCTACTTGTCCGGTTTGTGTGAAGCAGACAAGGAGACAGAGAGATCGAGAGGGATAGAGAGCAGTTGCTTCACAAAATATGTCTACCAAAATAAAAACATTATCTAAGTGATTGATAGTTGGTATTCAGCAGTCATAAAAGTATACCATTTACTTTGAAGAATTACTAAAATAGTGATTTTGTCAGACAGCATAGGCAGCAGCAATATAGAGATGAGATGAAGACTTGGATTTAAATAATAAAGTCATTAAATAAAACAAATGTAATATATACACAGCAACTGAAATATTTCATTAAAGTAAAGTAAAGTAATGTGAATAAATGATGATTAATTCATGGGAATTGAATTGTTTTATTCTGTGTTGTTACAGCATTGATACCACATAATGCATAGTGCATTTCATGTCCATTTTTATTTTCAGCACTAACAGTAGTTATTTGGTGCCAAAAGACAATTCTTGTTGCCTACAGAATT